TGTATATGTGCCACATTTTCCCTGTCCAGTCTATCATCGATGGGCATTTGGGTTGGTTCCAGGTCTTTGCTATTGTAAACAGTGCTGCAATGAACATTCGTGTGCACGTTGGACTGAAGATTTCTTAAGGAAAGTACAAGAGGAGGCTCTCCTCACTCACTCTATATCAAACAAGTAAAACTCCAGCTTGGATATTTCTGCTGCCCAGAGTCCCTTCTGGATCCTTCTCCCCAGAGGCCATTCAGTCTCTGGTGGCTCATCTACGTAAGCAGCACTTGGCATCACTGCCTCCTATCCCACGAGGCTCTTTTGTCCTCCAACTTTCCACACCCCTTAGAAGCAAGCAAGTTCCTCTCCTTGGTGTTTATGTATCGGTTTAGCATTTCAGCCAGGATCTATGGCTCATTTTGTCTCCAAATATATTTCTAATATTCTCCACGAAAATAAAATGTGAGTGAACACAACTCTTACGCACACACACATTTAAACATAGATTTGTTGACAAGTTTTACTTTCTTACCCTGCTGTTGTGTTCTGCCCATTTTTCTAAATGTTACTCAGCTAATATTTTTAATACTGGATCTTGCACAAGCTTCCTACTTCTTGCACTGGTCATTGCCATAAAAGACAAGTGACATGTGGACAACTGGATACTTCCCATAGTCTGGAGTCTGCCATGCTGTGGTTTTTGGTGTGTAATAAATACATTTAGATTTTCACAAAGGAGACATTTCATCTTCTCCCCCAGTCACTGGATTTCGGAATTACAAAGGACCTTTCACATCATCCAATTCTGTCCCCAGAATTTGCAGATAATGAAACTAAGGCTCAGGGTAGCCAAGGTCATGCAGCTTAATAGCCAGACAAGATTTAGAACTGGGTTATTCGCAATACTGGGATTTGGTGGCTGGGGATGGGGAGTGGTTAGGGTGTCGGAGAAGAGATAGAGAAATGGAAGACTCACCTTCTCTCTCTTGTCTCTCAGTATTAAATAGGTTAAATGCTCAGAAACACTGATTGTGGATGAAAACCTCCCCACTTAAACAGACTGAAATGGAGTGGTTAGTCATTGTTGAATACTGAGTGGCATTTACATAAAACAGTGGTCTGGTGCTAATTATGAGTTAGTAGACTGTGACCAGTTAACACAGGCTCAGGAATTCCACTTAACCTTTAAACAACCTAGAGCTCTTTGAAATTCCAAAGGAGGCTGTTGAATTTGAAGCTGAGATTTGCATTTTTGAAAAGATTAATGCAGACCCACTGGGCCCACAGCACCCGATTGTGGGTACAGCGCTCCCAGAAATGACCAGAATCGACCAGCCACTGTGCTGATGCGTACCAGGGTCCACAGCCTTTCTTGCTTGCTTCTTTTTTTTTTTTTTTTTAACTTGGTGGGAGAAAGCAGCTACCTCAGTTCTGCTTCACACCCCGTTAAGTCCTAGCACTAGAGACAAAGGATCTCCATTGTCTAATATGTACTGATCCAAGGCAATTTTATCTTCTTTTAACTTCACTTTAAGATAGCAAGAGGCCAGGAATGAAAGCACGGCCTTCTGCAGAAGGAGAAGAAAAATAACCACAGGCTCTCTCTCCATTCTGCATGTGTCCTCTCAACCCTTCCTTCCTCCTCCATTCTTTCTAACTTCTCTCTTTGCTGGAGAGAAAGGCTCATGGGTCCCTGTTATCCCCACTGCCACCTCCTTATCTTTATCTCTGCACGGGTCACAACTGCCCACAGGTTGTCTGTCCAGGTACTACCTCCAGCCCCACCCTTGCCTTCTTCTCTACGAGGCCTCTCCTTTGCACCAAGAATCATGGACTTACAACAGATCAAAAGTGGATGAGATCTTAGTTTTAGACAAAAAGGCATAAACACCAGCCTTTGAAGCAGAAAGCGTGGTATAGGTTTTTGCTCCGTCACTTCATGAAACTTCTCTCAGCCTCACTTTCTCCTCCTGGGAAGTGGGGATGGTGTTACCTACTAGGCTGAGTTTTGGTGAAGATGACATCGAATGAAGTAATGCGCATGCTGCATACACTTTAGAGACCTTAAAGTGTATTGCGATAGCATTGCAGAGGGAAGAAGAAAAGTAGGGCAAGTCCCTGTCCCACAGAGGTAGGAAGGGGAAGCTCATTGTGCTTGCCATTCATGGAGAGTGGGGAGAAGGAAGGAAGGAGGGTGGGAGGAGAAACAGGCAATCAGACCCAGGTGCTGTAATTTCCGTGGAAGGTATATCAAGCCAGCTGATGGAATAGCCAAAAGCAGAGGTGTTTCTGGCCACCGCCCTTGTGGGAGTCTTGGGAAAGATAACACACAGCGTGGTTCTGCAGGGACTGAGGGGTGTGGCTGCAAATGTGGGCCTGTGATATGGTGCTCCTGGCTCTCGCGGCTCTGTGAGATGTGCTAGATGTCCCACAGGTGAGGGGACATGGAGGCACTGAGGGTCTAAGCTAACAAATATCTGGGTGAGGACTAAGAGGCTATAGTAGGCAGCACTAAATAAACAAGGCCCCAAACCGAGGCCACAGATATCAGCTCTCAGTAAGAGGCCTCCTAAAGACTCCTTAACAGTCACCAGCCAAGTGACCATCCCAGCCCCTCAGAATGGAGGTGGCCAAGACTCTAAGTCTTGCTTCTCTCCCGCCACTCCCTCCATGACCACGTAGACACCACCTTGAAGGGGAGCTGAGCGTAAAAGGGAAAGGACCTAAAATGACAGTGTGCTCACCTGGGTGACGCTAAGTTTTCTAAGAGATGGGCTAAAACAAAGAAATACCATGAGCTCTCAAGGTTAAAGTTCATTTGGTTCAGATAAGTATGAGATGAGCACACTTCTAAACCTTTTACAGGGATAAAAAGAGACAATCTAAAGTGAGAAATACAACAGATGGAAACGTATCTATGGTGAGAACATACCATCCACGAACTCTTAGGAATCAAGACCAAGTACCATAGTGCTAAAATGTACACGACAAAAACTACCAGGAATTTAAGGAGAAGCTGACAAAAATCACCCTATCAGTAAAGTCTTTAACCAAGCTCTTCTAGTTACTGGTCAATGAGATCATCAACAACAAAGGACAAATGTAAAATATGCTGAGTTGATTTGAGGTTTGTTTACTCTCGGCCTGTTGGAGGACTCTGCTCCACTTCCCCTCTCCCCACGCCCCCGACCCAAGCATGCCAGCCCCAGGAGGAAGGCATGGGGTGACTGAGTGGATTTGGAGACTACAATTGAGCCACAATGCTGCAGGCATAATCTTGCTCCCTGGCTGTGTCTTATCTCTTGGGAGTCATTCTCTTGCGAACAGAGCCCTGTGTCCCAAGGCCTGAGCTTCTTCGGGTGTTG